ATCAGAAATTGATCAATGAGTTATTTTGTTTTAACCTTAATAATTATACTATGCTTACATTTAACCATAAACCGATTAATATGCTGCTTTGTTACTAATAGAGTCACTTAAAATGTTTCATACTTTTCAATCTTTTTATCAGGTTGGTGTTGCCAAGAATCAGGATTGCCTCAATTTTCACATGTTGGCTGAGCCGTTGTTTATAACTATTAGCGAATCTGGAGATAGTTTGGTCAACAGAGTCCATCTGAAGATCTTGATGGTGGTCGTTGTTTTCAATGTACTAAATGGAATCGGCAATATTCCTTAATAATATTTTCTGGAATATCTGGATTATTGGGATATAACTGTTGCTAAAAACAATCCCAGAGCTGAATGCTATAAGTCCTTACTGGTTTGAGGACTTGTTTACACAAAAGCATTTTGTTATACATGTGGATAAGCTGGAATGTCTACCAAGTTACCGTTATATTTTCTTGAATTTTATATTTAGCTCTTTTCTCTTCTTTTTAACATGGACCTGTCAGTAAAGTCTGGCATTTAATGTAATACCTAGATATTTTTCTAAGTTAACTTAAGAGATCTAGAGAATTATTTGATAGTAAAATTAATATTAACAGTTTTAGTTTCATTTAATTTGATGCGGCATCTGTTGGTAATATTTTGGCCCTCTATATAATTGCAAATAATAAATAAAGTCAGCTCAGTGGCATATTCTTTTTGACTCTGCTTTACTGAATTGTTAATGCTCTAAGTTTATGTAGGACTAGGGATCCATTCTTTCAATTTTCTGTTAGTTGGCTGCAGGAGAAAGTTGTTGTGTACTTCATTTGAATGTAACTCTAATTTGTTAAGATATTTAATATCATAAGTAATAAGTTTTTACGGTTGATATCTGAAGAACCATTAAAAGTACCATTGGACATTGCCGTGAAGTATAAACCCTACAAAAACAACACTAGTAGCCTTTTCAAGGAAAAGAAAACTTAATCTCAAACCCGTTAAATTAGACGGGATAGATATAGAATGGAAAAATGAAGTCAAATATCTAGGCCTAACCCTGGACAACAAACTTTTCTGGAAAACACGTGAGAAGGAAGTAGTAAATAAGGCCACAAAAGCCCTAATGGTATGCAGAAACATTGCAGGTAAACGATGTTGATGTAACCCAAACATACTGCGATGGATGTATACTGCAATAGTGAGACCAATCATCATTTACTGGGCTATAGCCTGGAGTAATAGAACTAGTTTAGCTAGTACGAGAGCTAATATCTCAAAAGTACAAAGACTAGTCTGTGTTTGCATTACTGGTGCAATGAGAACCTGTCCTACGGCCGCAATGTAGGTGATCTTAAACCTCACCCCTCTACATTTGATGATAGAGAATATGGCAAAAAGGACACGATATAGAATGATCAGGAACGGAGTAACCAGACAAAAGTCTACTTGCTTCAGGACTAACGATACCTGGGATATGCCCCAGGATGAAATGCTAAAGAAGTACAGTTTTGTGAAAAACTTAAAAGCACAGAGCTGGGCTGCAAGAAATAACGGAGCCAAGAATCCATCGCGCTTGCAACCAAAAGACGTGCTATTCAGTTGTATACGGACGGTTCCAAAACCATGGAAGAAACTGGAATAGGAGTGTATTGGCCGAGAACCAAGCACTTCGAAAGCTTGATAAAATACCCAAGCATCTTCCAGGCGGAAATTCACGCCATCGAGAAGTGTATCCAGTTTAACATCGAGAGTAACTATCATAGACAAGAGATTATCATCATGTCCGATAGTCAAGCAGCCATCAAAGCGCTGAGCTCTTACGTAATCAGCTCAACAATGGTCTGGAGATGCCTAGAACAATTGAATAAGCTAGGCGAGAAAAATAGAGTTACTTTCACTTGGGTCCCGGGACATAACGGGGTACAGGGTAACGGGATTGCAGATAGTCTGGCAAGGAAAAGGACTCAAATACCCTTTGTAGGACCTGAGCCGTTCTGCGGTATCAGCAGTAACATAATATTAGGAGAGAAAAAAGAATTGGGCAGTAGAAGGACCGATAATTGGAACAATCTCTTGGGACTGAGACAGGCCAATATACTATATACTATATATACTATATATACTATAAGTGAATATAACCAGAAAAGATCGGAAGCCTGTATCTGCCTAAGCAAGAACAGGCTACGTTTTGTAACAGGGATACTTACCTTATAGTGAGTGCAGATTCTGTGAGGAGGAGGACGAAACCTCCATTCACATCTTAACTGAATGTGTAGCACTTCAAAATCCAAGGGCATTATATCTAGGAGGATATCAAATAGAAGAGGGAGATTTACTTAACTTGAAGCCACTTCAAATACTACAGTTCCTTGAGGAAATAGGATTGGAAGGATCGTTATAGGCATATAGACATTTTTTTAGTGCATTGGCGATAGAAGGGGGCACAATAGATCTTTTAGGTCGCAGTGTATTAACACTCCATTTTCAACATAGAACATAGAACCATTGGACATTACATATTTGTCGAAGGACTTTAGATTGGACCGTTGAATCTTCATAATATTTAAGTCACTAGCAGTACCCCTTCTCATGATACCGTACATATAAATATATCTCAGAAAACTCATGTAAAAAATAAGTTTTTTACCTAAGTTATGTTTTGATTTGATATCAAGACCAATATAATTTTACTGCATGTCTTTCCCAATTGAAGTATTTTGGGCTACGTATGCTTAACCCAATTTAGATGACAGTCAAGGTCTACTTTTATCAATTTTTAGGTACTTTATCTATCAGTGGAAGCTTAAAATAATTTTGTAACAATTGAGGTGTTATTATTGGATTTATCTTCGATTGTCATTATGTTGATAAAGTCACATTTTTAGCTATTGAGATGTCTTCTGCTTCCAAAAAAAAGAAAGTCCAAAAAATATTACCCTCCGATATACCGAAATGGATGAAAAATATGCATTTTTTTTGTACCAAATAATTAACTATTCCGTATTTCCACAATTCATGTCCCATAATTCAATAATGTCATAAAAATGTACCATTTTCACATAAAAAGAGATTACAGAATTAAATGAAAGCCGGATACTGTCACAACCCTACAAATGATAAAAAACGGAATTAATAATTAAGATTACCAATAGTTTTATTCAATACATTTTTTGCTACATATTACAGAATCGCACTAAGTAAAAATAAGTACTGGCTTATATGATCTCTTTTGGGCTACATGGAAATCTACTAAACTTTGGTCCCTACTCTACCTCTACCTAGCCATTAAATTATTCAATCCTTTAGTCATCAGCAGGGTTTTACATGTTTTGTTCCATAGTAAGAGACCAATCTTCGATGTACAAAGTTTTGCGATTTGAACTTTGATTAAGCAATTTTCGCCCATTTTGTTACTAGAGCTCTTAAAAAACACTTGGAAAGTGATTTCATGAACCTGACTTTGGATTATGCCTAGCACAAAACTGTGTATTAAGAAACATACTTAGTGATTTAAAAAAGCGCTAATCGCCATAGTTCATCAACGGTAAGAGTAACTAATTCTGCATGATGACCATTGCGTCTCATAGTCTTTTCATATTTCAGGCCATCTACTTTACATTTACGTAACTTTTACTTTACTTCTACTTTACTTCTACTTTACTTCTACTTTACTTCTACTTTACTTCTACTTTACTTCTACTTTACTTCTACTTTACTTCTACTTTACTTCTACTTTACTTCTACTTTACTTCTACTTTACTTCTACTTTACTTCTACATTACTTCTCCTTTACTTCTACTTTACTTCTACTTTACTTCTACTTTACTTCTACTTTACTTCTACTTTACTTCTACTTTACTTCTACTTTACTTCTACTTTACTTCTACTTTACTTCTACTTTACTTCTACTTTACTTCTACTTTACTTCTACTTTACTTCTACTTTACTTCTACTTTACTTCTACTTTACTTCTACTTTACTTCTACTTTACTTCTACTTTACTTCTACTTTACTTCTACTTTACTTCTACTTTACTTCTACTTTACTTCTACTTTACTTCTACTTTACTTCTACTTTACTTCTACTTTACTTCTACTTTACTTCTACTTTACTTCTACTTTACTTCTACTTTACTTCTACTTTACTTCTACTTTACTTCTACTTTACTTCTACTTTACTTCTACTTTACTTCTACTTTACTTCTACTTTACTTCTACTTTACTTCTACTTTACTTCTACTTTACTTCTACTTTACTTCTACTTTACTTCTACTTCACCTTTAACTTCCCCCTCCAACGTTAAATTTACCTAATTACTCTAAGCTCGTCACCTTCTATTTTCTACTATCACTGGATTTGAGCTTTACATACTCGCTCACTTCATTACTTTCTGGTCTACCTTTCACATCTAAAGAATATTTTGCATGATAAATACAAACACTACCTACATTTCCAAACAAACCTGAATTTCCATGCTTGTGGTGCATACTGTACGACTACGGTAGGCCCTTCTGCCACTGAGAAGCCCCAGTATCGACAAACACCATAAAATCGTAATTTATCTCATCTGCATCCAGTTGCTTCGACTGTTTGCTACAACTCTTGCATGAAGCTTGTGTATTTAGTTGAGGTTAGGTACACATTCGCATTTACTTCTGCAATACTTATTTCTTGCCACCCACATACTTCGATTAAAGTATGTGTTGCTACTTTATGAATATTAATATGTATTACTCTTCTGATACAAGTTCATGATGTCTTATAAAAGACTGAATGATGCAGATAAAAGGAGAACATAAATACTTGCGACAGAGCAGCTAAATCATTCAACATGAAAATAGCACATTCATTATCATCGCCTTAGAAGTAGATAAGAAACATCTGGTATTTTGAGTAAAAATATTCCTATTACTTTATCATCAAAATTTAAATAATCAAACACTTATAATAATCCTTGATCTTTATTATCTTATAAATAGCTAAAATGTGATATTTTATAAATTATTTTTATTATTTGATATTTCTGACATAAAGGTAAAAAAATGAAGATATATTTTGTTTATTTTGCTTCTGCTTTTCTGGGTAAGTATTTTAAAATTAAAGCAAATTAGAAAAATTAAGTATATCGCATTTTATATTTTTTAGATATTTGTGTTAACCCTTTATGTCCCAGATAAAGATTTTTTTAGCAATGTAAGAAATAAGTTTGGTATATCAATTAGAGGCTGTTACGGTTTTAATTTAAATAGGAGAAAATAAATGTATAAATCGATTAAATGGTATACATTTCACAAGTTATATAAAGTTGAATGAAACTTACCCTTTTGAAAATAAAACAGATTTAGAAGTTGATAATTTAATAGTTTAAAGTTTGGTAAACCTACAGAAAATGTAAACATTTCATTCTGACAATCATCTGTCAACCTCGACCTTTCCTCTTCTAGTGTTACTATACTCTGTTTTTAAACTAGGGAGAACGATTTGAATTTAAGTTGGCAATTCTGTAGACTTCTTATTGGTCAGATTGCAGTCAGTTTCACATATTACTTTTTAGCATTAACATCGCAGCTAATTCAATTATTGACAATTACTGACAGTTCTGTCATATTACATTTTCAGTTTCATTGCATTCACCCCATGATATCTCATGATTATTACTTGGTTTTTACTTTTTTTTTGTTAACATTTATTTTCAGAACTTCAATAAGCAATTGCATTGAATTTCTACGATTATCGGTCCTTCTACACCGATCCACCGTGTGATCCAGTTGCTTCAAGCATACTATGTCCGAAGTCCAATTATAATTCACTAGTAAAGAGTAAAGAGTAAGACTGTATGGTAAAAGGGTCCAAGCCACTAATAAATTTTTATTTAAAATACCTATAACAAATATATCCTTAAAATATGGACTGTTTACCATATTTTTATATTTTATACTAACCTGTATCTGAATATTCTATTAATAATTTTCTTAAATAGTCAATCTCCATTTTAAAAAGATCATAGTTATTTTCAAAAAGTCGATTTCAAAAGCAAGAAAAAATATTTCTAATCAACCTCAATAAATGAACGGCCATATTAAATTATTTTGACAGTTCTTTATAGACACACGTTTCAGATCACAATAATATGAAATTTACTACCGTTGTTTAAGACCAATAAAAAATCGACTCCTATGAGATTTATTTGGTCTTAACCCCTCATTGGTCGTTCGCCGACTATGACCGATAATGACAACTATTTCATAGATTTTGAACCTCCGAGCAATTACTAATAGAGGGAGCGTGAAAACGAGTTTGTAGGCGATTGTTGTGTTAGCAACATCTGTAGAGGAAGTGAGGAAGCGGGCACAAGGGGGAAGGTAAACATCCTTCTTGTTCAGTGGCGTATCATTTATCTATAAAAACACACATTGTCCAAACGTTTTAATTGTAAGAAAAAATAAAAAATTTGCTAATTTTACTATTTTTAAAATGAATACCGTCTTATATGTGTCTAATGCAGAAAATGAAACAAAATCACTGTAAAGGTCTAATTTTTTCAATTGAAGAATAAAACCTTAAAATCAATTTTAATATAAATAAATACAGAAGCGACTAGTTTCGGCCTTACAGGAACATCTTCAGACCTGTAATACAATATTCTTTAATTATTATAATAGGTTGGTCACTTACGAATAACATTAAATAGTATAAACCACAAAAATGGATCCATATTGTAGCGTTACAGCATTATATAATTAAAGCTGTGGAAATAAAAGAGCAGTGCAAACGAAACTAAAAATAAGAAAACTGAGTACGGAATCTACAAGAGAAGAGGTGAGAATGAGCAATTACGAATGCATTTAAATTGCTCGGGATAACAAATAAAGCTAATAATGTAGTGGTGTAGTCCCCGTCAAAGAAGGTCTGGATATGTTAAAGAGGACGGCGTTTTTTCTGTAAATCTGGAGAATGAAAGGATGGAGGGAAGACGAATCTTGCTGGCTCAGGTGTAGATGGCTAGAAAAAGGAGCGTGTAGATGAAAGCTTTAGTAAATATCGTCACTTTCGTCTAATTTTTTATTCTCGCTCACCGTTTCGGCTTTATCTTCGAAATTCATTTTTAAAAGAAAATAAAAGTAATCATTCATACAAGTATATAATAAAACAACATGAATTAATTATATTTAATAAGCTAATAAACGTTTGTTTCAATGAAAAAAACATATATGTGAATATAAAAAATATATAAATAGATAAGATTAATATCAAAATCAATTTGAAAATACAACAGATAATAAAATGAAATAAATTAATACAAGTACAAATAGAAAGTTAATAACATACCTTCTAAAAGTAATACATTTTAAGTAGATTAATGTTTAAAGAGCTTATTCCTGAACGTAACTAATCTAACGTTTTTCCCTTTTTTAATATTATGAGGATTTTTGTAGTTAAAATGAAAATTATAATTTATTTTGGTCCTAATAAAAATTTAAACATAGGTTATCAAAGAGTAAAATACATAATAGAACTTCCTAATCTTAAATCGTTATAAAAAATTATTAAAGGTAAAACTTCAAACAATAATTAGATTCTTAAAAAAATTTCTAGTTTTTGTTTTGCAAAAGACTTTTTTGCCTTCTTCGGTTGCCTCTGCCACTTTTCTTTTAGTAGTTTCGAAGAGAATTTTTCTATGGAAACCAGTAGAACCATCAATTGGTTGGTAACATTTTGATATTTTGGGTCTGGTAAGTCTTGTTAAACTTTCTTTTTAAGAAGATGTAACCTTATGGAGAATAAAAATTTAATGTTAGATCAAAAGCTCTTAATTGAGAATTATATTTGCAAAGGCCGTTTTAATAATATTTTCAAAAGTTCTTGGAATCGTTGTTAACAGAAACCTGCAAAAAATATATCATTTTATTCCTAAAATATAAGATATCACACAATGCACATTCATATATCATTGTGCTAGAAAAATACTAGGTAGGTACTGAGACAATTTAAAAAAAGTATTTCGAGAAACTCAACTTTTAATGTCATCATTGTACTTAACTTTTTTATTGCTAAATTATTAATAATGTCATTTTGTGTAGTTCGTTATGATTTGTATAATATATATTATAAAAACCTATCGTCAATGTTAATGTGCCAAGTTTTTTTAATAATTAGGTCCTTGTTATAGTAAAAACACATTTAAACACATTTTTAAAGTTTTCTGCATTTCTGCTTAAAATTATCGTACAATTGAATTGACTAATTGTGTGTTTAAGTAAAGTTATATCTCTTTTTTGTTATAACAGTCTTTGTATATTGTTCTAACTTTTTAGATAATCAGAAAAAACAGTAAGACATCCTAATATATCCTATTTCACCAACAAAAATGTAGAATAATTAATCTCAAATCAAACGAAAAAAGTCATTTTAGGATGTCCTAATAGGTTTTAACTTAAAAACTAAATAAAATGTATATTGCAACTGTGTTTAAATAAATGAATGTTTTTATACCTGACTATAGCACCAGACAAACATTTTTTAGATCATAATGATCTGCATAACTCAAAATAGTCAAAATCCACATTATTTAAGTTGTTCTAGTATTGTTTTAGCATAACGATGTAAACTCCAATAATAAATATTCACATTTTTTTGGGACGTTTCTTAAGGAAATTAAAAAAAACATGAATAATGTGATATTCTTGTTTAGTTTTGTACTATATAATATCGTTCATTAGGTAGTGATTTAGAAGCAAATTATGTTCTATTTATAGAATAAAAAATCACTCATAATATCTAAATATTTATACCTACTTATATTTTGGACAGGAATACTATTTTATGTTTTTAGCTCTGAATAGTTTTATTAAGAATTTTAAAACCTTCCTTAGCTCTTTTGTGATATTCCATGCATATTTTAAAAGTTCATTTTGTTTAAACCTAAAACAAATTAAGTACAAAAAATGAAAATTTAAACAATACACAAAATTAGTCTTTTAGATTAGTTAAAAAAAAGTGTCAACAAAAAAATGGCTTTGCCTTTTTCCTGAAACATTCTTTTTGAAAGAATCTTAAGTTTCTCTACTTACTTACTGTTTTAGTAGTTTAGTAGCAGATGAATATAGTGTAGAAGTAGTGACAGGATTGATTATTATACTTCTTTCGTCGAAATTTCATTTTTCTTTAATATTTTCCTCCCCTGAGATCTGTAATAAAAATGTTCATCAGCATAAAAATTTATTCAGTGGTCACTTGTTGAATTCCTATATTTTGGAACCATGTATTTCTTTTTCATATCAAGAAAAGGAAACCTAAAAAAAAAACAATAAACTTTACAAAGATGTGATACTTATAATAAGTAATTAACCTTTACTATAATCATTATGAGACGGATGAAGACGAACTTAGCTGGAGTTTACTTGCTCTTAATTTTAATTTTTCGATAAAAGAATAAGAAAGTTTAATTGTAAATTAAAGGTGATTGCCTAATGCACCGCCTCTGATAATTAGGTTGTGTCTGTACTTACTTATGATATTATCTTGAGGAAGCATTTTCAACAGGCCTTTTACACATAAAGCATGTTTTCACCATATTATTAGAGATAATAAATCTTAAATATAAATTTACAACCCTTATAACGTTATAAATAATAATATTTTCCGTAAAATACAAAAAGGAAATTGACATGTGTCAGAACTGGCGCTGTCAAACTTGGCAACGCTGATTAAATAAGACAATTACAGAAGAGGTATTTTCCCCCTCGGGGGGTAGTAGATGTTGCTAACAAAATTTAGTGCGGGAAAGGGGGAAAGCCTCCCTCTAGTAGTAATTGCTCGGAGTTTTGAACACGACTATATTTCAGAACCCGCTATTAGTAACTAATTTAGTTACTTTTCCCTGTGTAAATGCATCGTTTGAATTCGCTCCTTCTATATAGTTTAAAAACAAAGTATAGGACCTATTTCATTTCTTAAATGTTCTATGGCAAGGCTATGATTTAATATTTGAACAGATGCAATTTTCCCCTAAAATATGAATAGTTGGCTATATTGGTCGGCCAATAAATCAAGGAACTTTCCTTTCTGACTTTTTCTTTGATGGCATGAATTTGTTGGGTCCATGTGGTGCCTGTTCAAATTTAGCGAATTTTATTCGGAATAAAAGCCATATATTAGAGACAATTACAACTATCACTAGGAAACTACATTGTCTAGTCTTGACAGCATTTCTTGTGAATAAAGTAGTTCCTAGCACGGCCCTACCCTATATTCGGTAAGTCCATATTTGGCTATACCTTTCGGTTTATTTGTATTACTCAAATTAGATTTCCTTCTCGTCTAATTCCTCTTCTACTGCTTCCTCTACATCATCCACTAAGCACATGCTTGTCTTTTCGACCTCAAAGACTTCACCTTCCTCATTTTCGCTGTCTTCTTTGTCTGTAATAATGTCATTATCAAGCAGCAGATTTTCTATTTCAAACGCAGATGCTTCAGCTGCGGCTAGAAGGTCTTCGTCATTTAAAATTTTTCTAAATCTCCAGTCAGACATCTGTAATTAGATTAACAAATACCTAAAATAGATTCACCCAAAAGTAATTAATATATGTATAACAGTTACTTTATTAATATGCGTCTATTCCCTGGCGGGACTTAGCTGTCCCGGATGAAAATAGCTATCCTATGGAACGCTTATGTACGTTAGTGAACAAACAAATCGTTGTTTAGTTATATAAAACCACAATTATTTAAATTTTTTAAACAAACCCGAACTTACTAAGGCTTTTGTTTTATGTTATTAATAAAAAAACTCGAACTACACATTCACGACTCGACTGCCATAACACACTAACGGCTTTGTTTACAAATTCAAACTGTCCGTAATAATAATGTATTGTTGGTCACATACATACCTTATAAAATGTGTACTTCAGAGTTCCGTCAGGACATCAGCGTCATAACGAGCATATCGTAATTTACTGAGAGGTTAAAAGTTTTGGGACCTTTAAGTCCCGTTAGGATACAAAGGGTTAATCAGTCACATTATATTTAAATATAAAAATTTTTATTAACAAATAATTTTTCAATACCTTATTATTTCAGGTGCTTTATCAAACCCACATGCCAAAGATTCAGACATTGAATTCTTTTTCTACAGCGTAAAAAATCCAATAAATGGTTATTTAACAAACATTTCAAATTCTGAGAACGTTGCTCAAACTAATTTTTCGAAAGAAAAAGACACTGTTTTCTGCATCCATGGATGGCTAGATAAAGTAAGCTCTGGTAACTGTGGATCCATAAAAGATAATCTGCTTCAGAAAAATGATGTCAACGTCTTTCTAGTATATTGGGATAAAATTGCAAATAATTGGTTGTATCCAGTGGCTTTCTCGCAAGTTGAATCGCTTGGACACATTGTGGCTACTTCGTTAAAAAACTTTATGAATACTAGCGGATTAGATTTGGGGAAGACTATTATGGTCGGTCATTCTTTGGGGGCACATATATCTGGGGTAGCTGGGGCTGCATTGGATGGCCAAATAGACCAAATTGTAGGTATGTACAAACTAAATATAACAGTTTTATTTTTTAATATAATTTCTAAACTCCCTAAATTCTTGAAACAGATCTGTAACATATATTTCTACTCATCACTCTAATATCTTCACAGTTTTTAGGTTTAAAACAACTTAGTATTATTTCCTGTGTCTATTAATATTCTTAAAATAACCTATTAGGTGGAAAAGAAGGGGCACGTTGTTACCTATTTCTTCTTAGAAATTTTTTACTCCTAATTTTTTTAAATTTCATTTTACAAAAACGGCAATGTAATAAAGGAACCTTTAGTTACTATTGGGAAAAAAAGTATCCTCCTAATTATTATTATAGAGTGTAAAAAAAAAACGGTAGTTGAAGTCAATTGTAACACTGTTCTTCATTAGTGGGGCATCTTATTACATATGGTGGGGTACACTGTTACAGGTTATAAATTTACTAAAAATTTAGATATTATTAATGTTTTATTTATAAAGTTAGGTTATAAAGTTGAGTTATAAAGTTAAGTTTAAAAAAAGAAATTGAAAATGTTAACATAGAATACAAAATGAAAGTGAAAATAACTTTAACTGGTTTGTGTTCCTTAAATGTTCTACAATTTGATCCTTAACAGAAGTATCAGTAAGAATTTGGCTTTTTCTTTTTCTAGTTTCCTTCCTAGCACCGGCCTTCGGGTACGGTTGCACCTCAACGGGTGATACGAAACTTGGTTTAGAAAACCGTTTTGGTGGAGGTGAATGTTCTACAGTCCGTAACATTGGTGTTTGTGGCGACGGTTGTGCAGCTGGTAGTGGAAGGTTTTCGAGTGAATTCAAACTTTCTTGAGGTCTGTCTGTAACTGATGAACATAGAAAGTCATCATCGCTGAAGATATTTCTATTCGGATGCCAAATTCCAGTACACTTAAATACATTAATAATATTGTTAGGCGTGAATGCCCTTGGGTAGGCTATTCCCAGTAACCCAGCAATTTCGTATATCGTAATGGTTTTTCCAGCATTCATGACCATCCAATCGTTGCATGCCATGTTAAAGTTGGTCTTGAATGATTTATATACAGTTTTGTCTAGTGGCTGGAGTTTACCGCTAGTATGAGGGGGCAGAGTTACGAGGATAATTTCGTTACTTTTTAAAATTCAAGCGAGCTTATTGTTATAAGTGATTCGTGGTTGTCAAATATGAGTAGCATTGGCGACTCTGGTGTACTTTTTACAACTCCATGAAAGTGTTTTAATATATTAATAAACACTTCGCCATTTACCTAACCACTTTTTGCAGCGCCGCCTGCATTTCCTGGAGGGGCCCCTGTGAGCATTCTATTTTTAAAATGTACTCATGAAAATATTAGATATGGAGGCACTGAATTTCGTATAGCGTTTAAAAAACAGCATGCTGTCACCAAGACGCCTCGTTCACCGGACGTAACCTAACCAATCTGCTTGAGGCCCTTTTGTCCAATAATATTAGGTGGATTGTGGACTGTCGTCAATGCCGTTTCATCTAGGTTATAAAAGTTTTGTGGAAGAGGGCCCGTAGGAAATTTATTTTAATTTCTAGATAAGTTATTAAAAAATTCCTCAACATTAGTTCGATTAAAACTCGTTGCACGCCCCAAACTAGTGGGTTCTGGTTTTTTTATTGATAAATCCTTATACCGCTTCAAATAACCGCTTAGACAATCAACACCTGCTTGCTGATTTTTGTCCCATGTAGATGGATATTTAAATTATTTTCTTTAGCCAATTCAAATGCCAACGTCATAACATGTGTTCTTGTTAACCCATGGTGCATGCGACATGCTATGAAAAGATAATTTTTTAAATCATCTTCCAGTTCCTTGGGAAACACTTGATTTGAATTATATCTTGGCGTGAATCGGAAATGTAAGCGTTCTTCTTGAGAACTATTCCTATATTTGACAACATACCTTTTGAATGTCATGTGCACTAAATTCGCTTCTCTTGCAGCTTTTCGTACAGGCACTTGATCATTGATAACGTTTAGTACGGCAGTTTTTATAGTCTCTTCATCATAATCGCCGATTTTTCGCTGTTCTTTTCTATTTCGCACCATGATAGAAAGTTTCTGGAACAAGACTTTTAAATTGAACTTATTGCTTTGCTATAAGGGGGACACAGTGTTACATGTAACACTGTACTTCTTGTTTACCTGTAACACTGTGCGCCGCTGGTACCCACGCCAGCAGAAGTTGATTTTCACAAAGATAACAATATTTAAGGTTATGTCCTTATGCTGATATCATTATTTAAAACCATATCTCTATAATCCCTATAATCACCAACGTATCATGAACTTACTCTATAAACAGCTATGACAACTTTTAGATAACTAAAATATTTTACTTTGAGACATAAAAAAATACTCACTTGTTCAGATGAATGACGCAGCAACTCACTATAGGTACGTATACACCGAACAATCCAGCAGAAATAATGTTCGCAGCAATACCAATGTTCTATTGGCAATAGAACATTGGTAACACTGTTATCCGTGAAATACCGTATCCCCTCTTCCCTATATTTAATTTTTTCAATGTGATTTGCAACTTCCTAGTAGTAGAGATCCATTATTCCCTTATATAGTAACAACACAGTCTCGGTTTTCCATTTTTTCATCGCTTTCTGCCTCTTATCAATGTTTTTAACTCATCTACTGTCTTTCTTTTTCTGTTTCTTTATCTATAATTTGGTCTATTAATTTTGTGTTTATTTTAAGTTTTAAATATTGTTTTGTAATTTTTGAAAACTCTTATGGGTGCATCCATATTTTAACTGACCTATAATATTTCGTAGCTCTTGATCCCGCTGGTCCACTATTCACAACACACAACACCCACAACAGACTTACCACATCAAGTGCTAAATTCGTTGAAGCCATTCACACATGCGGAGGTCGTTTGGGATACTTTAAGCAAATAGGACATGCTGATTATTATCCCAATGGAGGAAAATCACAACCTATGTGTGGATTTATCGACTTACTAGACGGACAATGTTCCCATTTAAAATCTATAGAATTTTATGCTGAATCGTTGCTAACTGGAAATTTTAAAGCAAAGAAATGTGATAGTTATAAAGATTTCAAGAAAGGCAAATGTGATAATGGAGAGGTTTCATATTTGGGAGAGTATAATGTCGATAAAAGGCAAGTAATTGATTCTATAAAGAATATTTATTGTTGTTTCTTTGATTTATTAGTATTACTCTTATTATTTTTAATAATTTTAGGGCTAATGGAACCTATTTCTTGCAAACCAATGATCATCCTCCGTATGCTAAAAATTGATAGCTTAAATAATAACTGAAATTAAATTATTAAAATTGTATTTTATTTTGTTTTGACCTAATTTTATAAAAATCGAAGTAATTGATAAACTAGAGATCATTATATCTTCACCCGAAACGAAATAGAAACTACACATGCTACGACCTATGTGAAGATACAAACGGCACGCAATGAAAATGTGAAAAAAATTATCTTGTGGCCGAATACTGCAGAAATACCATCAAAAATATTTTTTTGTTACTTTTAGTAATATGCTAGTACTTTTTTTTGGAATAGAAAAGATTTATGTGTTTTAATTATGCGTATTTTGTTTGGTTCAACTGGACAATTTTGTTATGACTGTATTATGTTAGGATAATCATTTATTTTATATTAAAACTTAAAAATGTATAAAGAATAAGTTCAACGGACAATCCCTCAGAAGGTAGGTGACGGTATAGGCGTAGACTCGAATTTCACGACTTTTTAGAAAAATAGGTTACTTGAAAGATACCAGAAAGGCAAAAAGAGTAAGACAACTTGTAATATTCAAAGTCAATTTTTTATATTTAATCAACATGTTCGAGGAAATTGAACTTGTAACCATAAGGTATAAATTAACTAATACAACAATAATAGAGATACAGAAAGGAACTAAAATATCCATTACAAATGATCTCTAAGTCCAAGATACCAAGAAAAGCAAATATTATTGGCATATTTCTTTAAAAAAGCCAAATCAGAAAAACAGAAGGCTTACATTAAAAACTTTATCTTGTATGTGATAAAGGAGAATTGGAAACGAGATACGCTGCTGAACAAAAAAGGAAATTTAATATCGTACTTTCCCCCAAAGTAAATAGTGCCCCTTGTACTCCAACAATCGAAAAAAATAATTTGCCTTATGAAGGTGAAAACTCTTGAAACGATCACCCAGACCCAGAGGAAAAAACGAATCATCTGTTAAAGTAAAAAATAGAACTCCCAAATGAATATCGGTTTTCAAGAACAACAAGCAAATAGTCAGCAGAGAAAACGCAAACGCAAAGGTGAAAGAAAACAATCAGAGACTGACAAGAAACCAGAAGAAATTCATGACTAAAAAAAGCTAAGTTTTCAAGGTTTCTTTTTTTATACACTAGTGGAAAAAATTAAGGGGTAAAACAAAAAATCTTGACTTTTTGCGATTTTTCGAGTGGCTGTATCTTTGGTAAAAATGGTTGCACGGGAATAAAAAAAAAGCAATTTGAAGCTTAAAGTGACTTGTTAATGGATCTTGTAATAAAAAAAATTTCTAACCAAAAATTAGCACAATATCCTGATGAATATCATGGAGAGAAAATTTTTGAAAAAATTTTTTTTTTTATTTTTAGTGTACGGAATTAAAAAAAGTTTTCTCGACATAACCACTTTATGCATTGAATAGGTGGTTCCGTTCGCTTCAATTCATTTTTTTGATGACCTCGAGATGACCTTTCCTTGCTGAGTTATGCGAAAATGAACGAAAATCCGTAATTTTCTCTTCTCTCGTCCATATCTCAGGAACCAATGGCCGCTCAGAAAATGGAAGGGGGGTTTTGGAAACTTCGATTTATTCTCTACAATGTGGTGGCATGTTCTTTCACGAAATAAATTTTTTTTTCACCCAATCATGACTGAAGAATTTCGGAAAACAAGTATTTTTGAGGTTTTTTAGAAAATCACGTGCCACATTGAAACTATTGGGATTTTTTTTTTTATTTTTTGTGAAATTTTTGATTTTTATGACTTCAAACGATTTCCGCAATGAAAATGTCAAAAAAAATCAGGGGAAATTTGAATTTTTCATTTTTATACAGATTATGAGCCAGAGAAGCGAAAAAACGCGATCCTTCAATTTCTTCAAAAAATTCACTCGCATGAAACAATTAAATGGCTTGATGGATCAGGTTGAAATTTTGTAGGGCTTTCTGGGGAACAATAGCCTGTAAGATGCACACTCAACATTAGTAATTTTCCCAATATTTTCAATGTGGCACGTGATTTTCTAAAAAACCTCAAAAAGACCTGTTTTCCGAAATTCTTCAAAGTCATGGTAGGGATGAAAAAAAATTTTTTCGTGAAAGAACATGCCACCACCTTGTAGAGAATGAATCGAAGTTTCCAAAACCCCCATTTCATTTTCTGAGCGGCCATTGGTTCCTGAGATATGGACGAGAGAAGAGAAAATTACGGATTTTCGTTAATTTTCCCATAACTCAACAAAGAAAGGTCATCTCGAGATCATCAATAAAAGGAATTGAAGCTAACGGAACCACCTATTCAATGCATAAAGTGGTTATGTCAAGAAAATTTTTTTCAAGTCCGTACATTAAAAATAAAAAAAAAAATTTCAAAAATTTTCTATCCATGACATTCATCAGGATTTTGTGTTAATTTTTAGTTAGAAATTTTTTTTATTACAAGATCCATAAACTAGATACTTTTTTAAGCCGCAAATTGTTTTTTTATTCCCGTACGACCATTTTTACCAAAGATACAGCCACTCGAAAAATCGCAAAAAAGTCAAGATTTCTTTTTGACCCCTTAATTTTTTCCACTAGTTTATATAAGAAAAACTATACTAAAAAAATTAAAATTCTAGTTAAACATTTTTCTAAACTTCCTAAACTTTTATATTATATCATTTTATATTTTTACTGTTAGCTGTTAGTCTGTATTTCTTTTAAAAAACATTTTTAACCTAAGCGAACCGACTAATAAAGTTAATTTAAAATAAATCCATACATTGATGAGTTTTTTATAGAAAAACTAAAAACATTTTGACTAAATTTATCAAGTGAGGTAAAAACAATTATAGATATAAATAATACATCCTCAAATTTTAAAATAATTCATAATAACATAGCTAGTATAGGCCATAATTTTGATGAGTTTCGAGTATTTATTGAGGGGTTAGATACTAATGTAGATTGTATAGTTTTATCCGAAACTTGGCAGATACCAGATATAAGAATTTTTACGATTTTAGAATACAAAACCTTACATAATTATGGAACTTACAATCAAAATGATGGTGTGGTAGTATTTGTAAAAAATGAACAATATATATCTCGTCAGATAACACAAATAAATAACACTTATCTACTTAGAACCAAAATAAATTATGAAAATAACATTATTATTATAATAAATTCTTTTTATAGGTCACCGAATACCATTGTGGATATGTTTTAAAACGAATTAAATAAACTTTTAGAATCACAGAATGAAAAATGCGATTTTAACTTGTTCGTAGGTGTCATTAATATTGACTTACTAGAAAATACAAGGGAATGTAAAAATGATGTAGATATTTTAAGTGAATATGGATATATGTCTGCAATAAATACACCTACCAGAGTCAAAAAGGATTCAAAAACTTGTTTAGACCACATGTTTATACATACAAAAAGTGATAATTATGATATGATAATACCCATGACTATTGCAACTTCCATTACTGATCATTACACAACAATGATGCACATTATTTTTGAAAAAGAATATATTAATACAAACAATAAAAATAAATCTAAAAAAAATAATTTCATTAAACACATTGATAACAAAAAAAAATCTGATGTGTCCAACACATGACTTTCCTATCTAGTTATTATAGGCTTTTTCCGATTATTTTGTACAACCTATTGCAGCACCTCTATAAATGTTTAGAGGATAAACTAAATATATACATTTTCCACATACATCTAAATCGAAACATTTCTCTATAGATATTCATTGAAACCGAAAATACTGAAAAATTTAAATTTAGCACTTTTCCTTCAATACGGTCCATTTTAGAAAAATCATATAAAAAACAAAAATTATAGAGATCAATATCACAAATAACTTTTATTTAAACAATTTTCCTAAAAATTTGAATTTTCTTACATTTTGTCAAATTTCTCGAATATGGACCATTTAAAAAAAAATTGTGTACAACCAAAATTATAGATAATAATATTGTCTATCTGAACATTTTTCTTCCCCATACATTAATATCAGATATATTCCATAAAATATAAAAATAGCCTCCCATAAAGTACCCCCCCAAATGTTCCGCCTTTGTCCAAAATCTAATAATTTCACCTCAGGCCGAAATAAAACTTTATCCGTTTTTGAGTTTTCTTCAAAATTCGAAATTTACACATTTTCTCAAATATCTCGAATACGGTCGATTTTAGAGAAATTATGTATGGGATAAAAATTATAGAGAATTATGTTACAAACTTTTTTCTACACCCGTATTATAATAATGCACTTATATGCCCATAATCCGTTTCATAATGATACCCATTATGATACAGATTTTTCATTACGATACAGATTTTTAATCAATAGAAACCTATAATTTTTCAATCAAGCATGCTGTTTGACGTTTGTCCTAGGTTCCTATGTAATTATTTTAGTTGTCAAAACGTATTAAATTTTCGTAGGTAGCTAAACTTCGATAATTATAATATTAAAATGTCTGATATTAGCGATATAGAAGACTCCTCCACACATATCGGAGAAAGCAGAAAATACAGTACAAAATATTTTACCGCAAAAATCTAGGGAAATACCAATACCTGAAGTAATACCATTAATTACAATTTTGTAGAATTTTTTATAGAAATACGAGTAATTACTGTTATTGTGTTCAATACCAATATAAATATAATATTTATAGGTCTTGATTATTTATCGGGTGTAGAAAAAATAGCGTATGCAACTCTCATGTAATGGTTATTACATGATCGTTGCATAATATACTATTATCTGATTAATTTTTATAAAAAAAATTTTTTTACATTTTGTCAAATTTCTCGAATACGGACCATTTTAGGAAAATTTTGTATAGAACAAAAATTATAGATAATAATATTATAAGTAACGTTTATTTAAAGAATTTTCTTCTCCAAATGTAAATAACGGATATATTTTATAAAATATAAAAATGACCACCAATAAAGTACCCCAAATGTTTCGACTCTGCCCAAAATCTAATCAGTTCACCACAGGCTGGAATAAAGCTTAAATTTGGTACTTTTCTTTGTATCGGTTTATGAGTTATGGTGGATACAGACACACACACACACACACACACACACACACACACACACACACACACACACACACACACACACACACACACGGATTCAGGGGAACCCAAAACGTAAAAATCCGTAGAAAACTGAAGGTCGAAAAAAATCATGATTCCTATACTTTCCTTATTTGTATACAGATAGGAAAGTAATTAATGGATAACATACAAAGTATTAACTGAAATAACATATTTGTTGAACCAGTCCTAGAAATACAAACAAAAAAATAATTCAGGCTATTCAAAATACCGTAAATAAATCCACAATGAATGTAAAATTAAAACATAAAGAAAAGAAAAGATTGGATAACACCATCACTAATAAAATGCGTAAATGAAAAAAATAGCTCTACACCA